TATAGACCGTTCCATTAGGGTCATAGCAGAGAGGGTAAAAGAGAAAAAAAATGCACTCCCCCTCTCCCCCGCAAGCCGTCCGCTCCACCGAGTGGGCTGTAGGTAGCGTCCGGCTGGCGTGCAAACTCTGTTTAAAATCGCGTCATTTTGGAACTTTCAAGCGCAGATGCGCAGATTTTGGTATGCCAGTTATCGTGTAATACTATGCTAGATAAAAAGACTCACAGGGTCCAATTGCACTGTTACCTGCGTGCAAATAAAAAACAAGAATAGGGAAAACTGTGTCAGATTGGCCGGTCTCTTTGGCGAAAAGAAAATTCGGTTGCTGTACCTTTTTTACGATACCAAAGTTCGTACTGGTGTAGGCCTTTAGCGACCATGAGTGGAAGTCTGAAATAATAAATAAAAACGTGCTCTCCTGCCGCAATACACGCAGTAGTTGAGGGTAGTACTGCCGGCTGACTCAACTGCTATTTATGTAACGGAAAAAAGATATGCTAGTTGATCATTTAGCAAAATAGAACAACAGAGAGCTATAGCCTGATTTTGGAGTAGCCACAACTATTCTAAGAACGCGAACCACTTCACAACGGCAGCCACGAGCGAGAGTTCGGTGTTCGGTGGAGCCCGCCAATACAGCCCAAAGATGGAGAACGGCAACCTCCCGGTTTGTCGTCTGCTAGCGGAGTCGGCGGCGTGCCCTCTCTCTCGTTTTACCCCGCCGAACCCGCTGAACTTCCCGGATGTGTGGAGGGGGCGCTGCGGTCGAACAAAATGGTGCCGCCCAGAGAGCGCTAAATGGAATGGTCTATAGTTAGTTTAATTTAGGTCAAAGCAGAAATGAAGTATTGAACATATACAACCACAAACACACGCACTTAAAGCGCAAGTCACAGGACATACACTGCACTTGATTTAGTCGATGAAAGAACACGTACAGGAAGATGGGCTAAGGCCATGATATGTTGATGCCGCGCTTTGACGATGTTTGGTTGGTCCCATTGGCACGTAGCATTGGCTGCACTTTGAATTAAGATGAAATTAAGCATACAAATTGCTTGTCCACTGCACTGGTAGGTTGATCACCCACATCTAAATTTCCATGTGATGTCGGCAATGTCAGGAGCTAAAAGTCCCGATAAAACATTGCATAATAGTAGGATGGCGACTCCTGTGATAAGACAGAACTATGGTCTTGTACTCCTGATGCGATCACTTGATTGTCATGTCTGCTACATCCCTCAGTACCGCCTCTCGCAAGCGCGTCGAGCTTCACTGCTTTGCACCGGAGTGCTAGGAGCAGTGGCTGGCATGGGGGTGCTCCTGGGTTTGCCCGATAGGCTCGGAAATTATGCTCAGTAATATTACAGATCACCTTCTTCGGTCTTGATGTTCAGCCACATGGAGGCTAAACAAGAAACTTTATCCACCCGTAGGGAAAACAAACCACACCATTTCTCTGCTCAACAACCACACTGGGCAACAGCAGCACTAACAATGAGTGATTTTTAAAAGCAAACTCTTGTACACTACACATAGCGTAGAACAGCACCTTTAAAAATGCCGTCGGAGTTAATTTAATGCCTTGGGAGTTTCGCGTGGCCCTAGGGAGGGGTTTATAGTCACGTGGTATGTACACAGTGCTGTATTAGCTCCGATAAGTTGTGGCGTCGGCTGCAGTCCATTGTGAGGTGAAACGAAATATATATTCCAAAAAATAGGGCAATCGGTGACCTTTAGTCAAACAGTCTATACTCTTTTCACCACTAAGCTGGCAGTGCGGTGGAAACTAGTGCTCGTTGGATCAGTCGTGTGTTCATCTGTCGCCACGGGACCTCGGTCCGCCAACACCCATGCGCAGAGAGCGGGGCCATGTGATGTAGAAGATGCAGCCGACTGTGCCTGCGAGCGTGTATCTCCCACCTCACTGTCAGTTTAAGGGTGAATGGACTAGTCCTGTTGTACGTGTGCCTTCTTTGTTGTCCTTGTCAAGTTTGCGCTATTTTAATCATGTCTTGACATACTTCGTTCGTGTGAAGATCAGTCGTGGGTCTTTCCTATAAACCACGAATGGGGCGTAGCCGAGTTTGGGCCCTTTGGTGTGTCGTCTGCTTCTGTTTCTTAGTCTCGAGTTTCCATATTGTTGAAAGTTCACCATTCCTACTTCTAGCTTGCCTGTTACTTTTGTTTCCATGAGATCAAACGGGCTCATCGAAGCTGGTTGTCTGGCAAAATGATCTTCCTGGTTGAGCGAGGGGAACGGCGACTGTACCAGTAACTCTATTCAATAAATTCCTGAGCTACGGTTGAAAACTTTCGCGTGTTTGTCATTATTCTGTGTTGTCTCGTGACGAGTAGACATGAAGATGACTCGCCAGCGTTAACTCGTTCAGGTTATAATTTCACAAATAATTAAAAGGCGTGTGAACTTAAGACGAAATATGTAAGCAATCAATAATCAATGTCGGTAAACAATACAACTGACAGATGTCATCCTTGTGTACTCGTCTGACAGGAACCTAACATATGGCAGAACCCAGGAACGAGCACTTACCTGCGACTTACCAACTGTCATCCGATGGTTTAAAATGATAGTTTTCCAAGTCAGTCAAGTGTGGAAACTGCGATTCAAGCAGCTACTTCTCGCCGAACGATAGATCAACGCGGAGGTAGCGGAGGCCCGAAGACAATGTAGGCCGCCATTTTGTTGATGGGATTGATGCCGTTGGGACTTGTTTTGACCGATTTTGAATTGTGAACGCCAGAGTTATTTAAATAAATCATAAATTACATTTATAGCTTTAAATATATTATAATTTATCTAATACTGGATACAAATAATTCTTAGGTTAAAACTAGCAACGTCATTAACCAATCGTGCGTCTATCATCATCGTCATCATCATCACCAAGGACAAATGGCTGCCTCCAGACGAGCGATGGAACGTACCTTTATGGTGGCTGGAAGGGGAAGTGTGGCGGCCGGGAGCGGAGGGCTGCACAGAGTTGCGATGAAAATAATAGAGGGCGCTGCGCGCAGCAGGCGAGTTAGCGCTGGCGGGCGGCGGAGCATAGGAATAGAGCGCTGCGCGATATTTTCCCCTTGCTACGAATACTGTAAAATAGTTGATACGCAAAAAAAAAAAAGACAACTGGACGTTTTCTTCGAGAGCTGAATCTACTGACGCCTTGTTACGCAATAGAAAGGAAAGAAAAAAAAAACTATTTTTGATTTACATTTAGAACAAATGCGCTGGAGCAGGTGAACGTCCACTGGGGAAATTAGACTTTTTTTTTACTTGATAACTTTATCAATCGTGAACACTTCATATGCTTCAAAGTGCAGCCGAAGAAAAATGTGACGAACAAGGCATAGAATGGAGAACTCACTTTTATTTACTGTTTCAGATATTGCGTCAAGAATACAAGCCAAAGGAAGAAACTACTTGCTTCTGAAGCAGCCTTTGTTTTGACCTTTTTCTTTCTCTGAAGAGTGCATGGACAGGCGTTAGTAAGCGCGCCGAGTATTTTATTTCAATAAGTTAGCAAAAAATGTCCAGGAAAAGTGCGCAAGCAGACAAATGTTTGATTGCCGCTGGATCTGGAGATGCCACACACTGAACTACAGGTTTTCCCGCTCATCCTAATCCAAACGACGTCCAATTTAATCCCAGTATCACCCAATTTAACCCAAGCGCCACACAATTTAATCCTTGGGCTAACCACTTTAATCCCGGGGTCAGTCATTTTAATCCAGTATATGCACTAATTGCATTCAGTGGTCGTGTTTTGCTTACACATTTGGTAACTTAGAATAATTGTTTATACTCTTGGATTTTGTGGGGGACAACTGATCGTTTGATCACTATTGTGACTACTTGGAGTTACTGCCCACTTTTGACGAGGCAAAATTGGTATGTTTATTACTCTTTTTGTAAGCCTGGAGTTATTATGGCGCACTCGAATTTATTTTAGCTTGCAATTGATGATTACTCTTTTGATTACTTCGTGCTATTATTGCTCCAATTGATCTATAATAAGCTCAGTTGACATTGTTATTCCTCTTGTGATTACTTCGAGTTACTTTTGACCCATTGGCCATAAATTCAAATTAAACTTTATTGCTTTCAGCTAATATTCAGCAAATTAAATTTTTATGTGATGATTATTGACATTATGATTACTCTTGATTACTTTGAGTTACTCTGAATTCAATTGACTTTAATTCGGCCTAAATGACATTTGGTGACTTGTTTACTTTGTATAATTATAGCCCTAATTTATCGGTTGTAGCTCAGTCAGTCATTATTATTACTCTTTTGATTACTTCGAGTTACTTTTATAATTTTTGGGGCTAAGATTCAATAAAATTATTTATTATTCGCTCAACTGACATTGCAGTTACTTGTTTTATTACTTTGAGTTACTATTGACCAAATGGACTTTAATTCCGCCTAGTTGACATTTTGGCTACTCGTTTGATTATTTTCTGTTATTATACCTCCAAATGATCTATAATGAACTCAGTTGACATTATTATTACTCTTTTTATTCCTTTGAGTTACTTTTAAACCTGTGAACTTGAATTGGACCCAAATGACATTAGGACGACTCTTGATTACTTTGAGCTTATCTTAATACACTTATTTATTATTAGCCTAATGTATATTATGATTACTCACAGCCAAAACAGCAGTACAACCAAAACAGCAGAATTTGTAGCAGCCTCAGAAGAGCGCCGGCGCCCGCGAACCAACAGATAACCCGAGACCGCTGACTCGCCTGCAGACTGCAGCGCCCCTCGCGGTGGCGAAGATTTTCATCGCAACTCGCGCCCCTCCCTGACACGGCGCGCATACGGCGCCCGTCACACTTCCCCTTCCAGCCACCATAGTACCTTTGTAGGCGTTTGCATGTTGAGTATATTTATGAAATATGAATGCATAACGTTTATGTAAGCCTAGGTAAAGAGCTAAAAAAAAAAAAAAAACAATTTCGTCGCTTCATCTTATTCACAAGCTGCGAGGCTTTGTGACTGTTATTTTATTTTTACATATACCAGCTTGTTTGCGCCATTACATTTAGTGAATTCGTCCTTGTCGTAAACCAATTTTGCCCGTATTGTCCTTCGTGGAATGGGTCATCGACCCTTCTGAGGCACCGCTGCTTTCGATAGTTCTTAGTGCGAACGTGTTTCCACCACACTAGCATAGTAACTTTTTGAGGGATAAGTTCCAGTGGTGGAACTGCTGCGCCATTTGCGCTAAAACGAAAACCCTGCTAATATACTGCAAAGGTGGTATTTGCGCACAATTTGCGCCAAAAGGGAGCTGTTCTCAAAAAAGGAAACGAAGTGCCTGGCTCGTGGAATTCTTGGCGATGTTACTGAAAATTAAGAAAGTACAGTTGTTTCTTTGGATGCCTAAGTACCATGTTTGCATTAATGCAAAGGTGCAAGCGAGCTGGAAAAGAATAACGATAAGAATGCCTGGAGAAGGGAGTCTAACTGATAAAACCCGTTTGCTCTACTGGCATCTAACCCCTGGTTAGCTCAGTTGGTAGAGCAAATTGGACGTTTTAGTGATTTTTACAGCGTAAGGTTGGTCTGCCAGTAGGGGCAACACTGGTTTAAACTGTAGATGAGCAATTTTGCCAGTGCAGTACGACTGCTAACCTGGGGTCTTTAACGTGCTCACGCAGTAGTGATACACAACCGCACGCCGGTACGATGCTCATCCAGATTGGAACGGGCAGGGGTGGGGCTCAAGCCCAGGATCCCTGGGTTCTGCAGCGCGAGCTTTCGCTCCTCGCGCATCGAGCTGGGTGTGCGCTTCAGCCCACTCGGCCACCGATGGTAGAGCACTCCATTGGAAATGGAGAGGCCCCTGGTTCGGTACCAGGACCAGGCGGATATTTTCAGCCGTGCACCAGCCACCTGGCTGCGTTTGGAGATTTGTCCTTTGTCCCCTTTCTCCAGGGATCATTATCGTTACTCTGGTACAGTGGTCTGCAATGAGCTAGAACGCACAAACTGCAATAAGGCAGTACAGACAGCACCATACAAATGCTATCAAGTGCTCGGCAGAGTGCGGAGAGGTATCGCTTGCAGGGGGTGCTTCTACGAAGTTGAACATGCTCGCTTCTGCCAACGCTTTCGCTTGCCACCCCCTTGGCTCTGCAATCTGCACTGCCCAATCGCTGTTCACACAATTTAACTCGTATCTCGGACCACTGTACTAATCATTATCCCTGAAAGCCCTTTAATGGTACCATACACTCATGATTTACAGTAGATATTATAATAGAAAGTCCCTACAACACTAAACAACACTACTAATGCTCGAGCTATTAAGAATTTATCCGATTTTTATATAACATCCTATACTTCGCTTCAGCTTAACTCCAGACGCAGCCAATGCTACAAGTGTGAGCATGTGGTCCTGCACAGTGCTTGCAATGCACAAGCGCGCGTGCTTGGCAGAAACACTGAAAGCCCAGAGCGCACGCTTGTAGCATTGGCTGTATCTGGACTTCAGCTGAAACAAAGTATAATGGGATGATTATTGATGTTCAAAATGTATAGGCATGATTGTCTTGCACGTCACAGTAAATTTCAATGCTTTTCTCCTTAACTCGGCTAATCTTCTTTAGATTTCAATGCTTTTCTCCCCTACTCGACTAGTCTTCTTTTATTAAAAGGCATACCAGATTTGCCATGGCTTACAAGAGTGCTGGACTTGTGCCCCCGTTCTCATAGGAGAACAAAAGAGCTTGTAATAATGAGAATTGTTGAGGATTAGGGGAATAAAAATGAGTATGAGCAAGGAAGAGCGATCCAATCTGAGACCAGGACTAGACAGCCAGGTCGGTGGGCTACAAAGGGAGTTGCCTCCTTGTAAGACAAAGCCCCAGAGGTGCCCGTGGGATGTTACAGGCAGTGGGAGAGGACCAAAGCTCCTTATAGACCAAAACTGGCAACAACCCAACCAATTAACAGCAAGGGAACAGTGCAATTTGACAGAGGACAAGAAAACAAGTGCTCAGACACGCTGCTGACGCTCATTTGAGGGTTTATTTTCAAGAAAACCAAAAAAAGAATACAAGAAAAAAAAAGACAATTCATAAAACAATTTTTAACATGCCATATCATTTTCACACAGATCTGCCATAATTCTTGATAAAACAAAACCCGTCACCCCCCGGTATACCGACGGAACGCTAAAACATTCGTCTCCCCTTCTCGATAAAATGAAAAAGGCCCTATCGATTTCCGTCTTATTTCTGCTATGCGCCAAGATCGTCAAATCATTGACCGAAGGGATGCAGCTACGCCTATTGAAATGCACCACAAGGTGGCCTGAGGGGGAGGAACGGAGAGGAAGGGAATGCTCCCTCACATTCACATACCTCCTTATCTGTCCATGGTACAATCTACGACAAGGGAGGAGGATCTGATACCAACACCTGTGGCACATAGGACAAAGGAAGTGCAGTGGTTAACATCAGATTGAGAGTCCTGGGTTCCACCTCGGTTTGCGGCACTGAAAAGACCACTGGCAAACTCTGCTTGTTAGCCAAAGATTTGACTTGGTGAAAAAGGGTGTGAACATAGGGTATTACCACTGGTCTGGATGTCAGTTAACAGAGACAGCCAAACCTTAACAGTCATCACAAAGAAACCCACCGAGGTAAGGCTGGAGACTTGTAAGCATACTGTTCTCGCATCTATGTCAACATGACTTAACAATGAAGCTCATTTGCATGATGCAGCAATCACATGCTTCACCAGCTTAAAATGTGTCGAATCGTGTAGCATTAGCCCCTTTTTAGAATGTGGTTCATAGGACCAACAGATGTGAGGGGGCTTAAGAGCAAGCTTCAAGCCTAAATATTGCAAAACCTTACCTGTGGATGTCTCATACTTTGATTTCAACCCGAAAGAACACTCCTTAAAATTGCCCAATGAAAGTGACAAAGAGCGATTAGCTACAGATGTCTGTCCAGGCGAGAACCCAGCAACTGCCGCTGACCAGAGAGACCGAACAACATTTCACTGAAGTAAGACTAGAAAATCAGTTAATCCAGATTGATCTTGACATCTCATGCAGGGGCGGACGCAGGTATTTTCGAAGGGGGGTGGGGGGGGGGTCAGCGTATCATATAATTACACCCTCCCCCCCCCCCTTTCCCGACCCTGAACTTTTACACATGCAGAATTCAAGAGGGGAGTCAGGACATCTGGACCTCTTCTCTGAATCCACCACTTTCATGTGCTGTGAATTGGAAGGGTCACAACTGAAATGGCAAGCAGCCATTATGAACACTTGGGGGGTAGCGCAATGATTTTAATGTTGAAATAATTTGCAGTTTGTATTTTTTATATTGTTTATCAAAGCACCAGTGAGAAAAAACGTGTCATCTTCCCCCGAAAATCTGCTATTCTGCTGCGTAATTGCACAAGAAAAAAAAAAAAAAGAAAAAAATTATTGGCCAATTTGCAGCTGCGTGTAGCGGTTATAGAAACTACAGTGGCATGTCACTGGGGTACACGCAGAAGTCAACCAAACCTGTCCCCTCTCCTGCAACACTCACCGGCGGGCTTGTGGCAAACCGTTTTTTGTGTGGATCGCTCGCCACGACCTTTGGCAATGCTAATTCTTGGAAAGTCGACAATGGAGCTTTTTCCAGTAACGAGCGCCACCTGGGGAGTTGTCTTTGAACTACAAATGAAGGGCAGCCCAACTTGCCTCCGCCTGCCAGAATACATTGGCATCATGCCGTTGTATCGATCTTCGTAGCCCTTTTAGGCCTGTTCACACACTTGCAACTCCTTACAACTGAGTGCTTTGAAATCTCTTAAAACTTCTTAGTCAAGAGAACACACTGGCAGCCTAGCGCTATTTACGCGGTGACCCTGGAATTGCATTTCACAAGAGCAGAGGTTTTGCGGTGTTGGGGGAAGCGCACATATGCATGCACGTAACATAGGCTGCACCTCTCGAATGGCATGAGCGACCGCTGTAAGTGTTTCGTGCCAAGCCCGAGAGATGGCGCAGCGGCCGCGGGCGGGACAGAGCCGTTTATACTGAGAGAGTTTGGCCGATGGGCGGAGCTTGTTGGCCGCTAGAACAAGCGGATTTCGCGATAACACAATATGGCGTTACTTCTTTGTCTTGTTCATTCCTGAGAAATCGCGTAGAGTTCCTATGAGTCAGAGCCACAATATGGCGGACGGAAGTAGTCATCCCCCGGTTGTCAGACTACGCTGCTGTGGTTGTCAGACTGTCAAAATCTCCTTAAGAAGGCCAAACTCTCTCAGTATAAACGGCTCTGGGGCGGGACAGAGCCGTTTATACTGAGAGAGTTTGGCCGATGGGCGGAGCTTGTTGGCCGCTAGAACAAGCGGATTTCGCGATAACACAATATGGCGTTACTTCTTTGTCTTGTTCATTCCTGAGAAATCGCGTAGAGTTCCTATGAGTCAGAGCCACAATATGGCGGACGGAAGTAGTCATCCCCCGGTTGTCAGACTACGCTGCTGTAGTTGTCAGACTGTCAAAATCTCCTTAAGGCCAAACTCTCTCAGTATAAACGGCTCTGGGGCGGGGGCGGTGAGGCGGGGTGAGGAAGACGAAGTTGTCGGGCGGAACGCGAGGGTTAGAGACAGGAGCGATACCGCTGCGCGCAGGTATGCGAAGGAATAAAGTGTTTAAGAGATTTCTTGCGTGTGAGTACGACCGAGGCAACCAGTGACGAGGTACGTCACAGCAGGACTTCAGAGGTCAAATGTGCGTAATACCTAATAGAAAAGGTTGTATATAACATTGACAAAAGTTTTTCCGAGCCAAGAAAGGGTGATGTGCGAGAGAAATAGAAAATATGCAGGACCACCAAGTTCCCACCTGGCAGTCCCGCAATCTACCTGCTACCCAATACAGTGCAATCCACTTATAACGATACCAGATATAACAAGTGCTGCTTTTAACGATCAGTTTCTAGAGTTTCAAGACTAGAAATGCCCAGCTTCTATAGTCGGTTACAAGTCAAGAAGGTAGAAGAAGCTCCTCCCACAAGTGTGATGCGCCTCTTTCAAATCTCTCCGCAGTCGAAAGAAGAGTTCACTGGAAACGCTCCTTGTTCCGCTTCAATGGAATCCCACTTGTCTCCGATCCCACTTTTTAAGAAAGCGACCTTTGTATTCATCGGAGAGGGAACCGAGCCCCTGAAAGCAGCCTTTGAATCCATCGGAGGGGGAAGCTAATCCCCGAAAGTCGTATTTGTTTCCGTCGGTGGGGGAGGACTCTAATCTCCCTCTCGTGGCTTCCACAATGCTAAGCCAAAGTCGAAAGATAAAGCAAATATGTACAGAAAGGCAAGACCCTCCT